ACGCATCAGGACGCTGTTCCGAGGTGTAGCGGGCGGGCGGCCTGAATGTCCAGGGGTGTGGACCCATCGTTGAGCTGGACGAACATGATCTTTCCTTTGTCTGCCTCGCATCACTTCCGGACAACAGCGCCCCCTCGAGGGCCCTCAAGCATGGCGGAAAGAATCACAAACACAGCCTCTCTGGCCGTCCTGACCCAGCCGCACACGGAGACCTCTCCGCGTCTCTGAACCATACTGACCGAAACGATGGCACAGCGCAGCGGGCAGCCTGCTTACCCACGAGGCTCTTGCCCTGGTCCTCTCCGGCAACAATCCGCTTGATCTCCGAACGGCCACCAACAGCACTGCTGTAGCCTCGGTGAAAAGCTCCCAAGCGGAGTCGGAGGGCCGCAAAGTTCCGTCTCTTAAGGCGACGACGATCCTCGAACGGCTGCGCGGCAGCCTCCCACGCATGCCCCCACTTTCCCGTCCGTCGCGGTGCCCTGCACTGGAGCACCCGGGCCTTCGGCTTCGCGCTGGGCGCGGAGGCCGAGGCCGCGGATGGCGCCGAAGGTGCCGAGGCTGCAGAGGGCTTTGCGCCCTTGATCACTGCAGCGAAAGCCTGCAAAACGCGCTCCAGGGCTGAATCGCGCGGATCGTGCACCCCCACCTCCTGAGCCATGCAGGTGCCGAGCCATCGTTTCGTCGCCCGAGGGAGCGAGGTGGCCAGCCCCTTCCAGTCAGACTCAAGGTGGGAAGCTTGCAGCGCTCTCTTTGCTGGCCTGGGACTGCAAGTGGTGCAGAGCGACGCTCAGGGAAGCATCCGCAATCGTAAAGCGCTGCCCGACCAGGAACACCTTGGTGCACCAGTGCGACACGCCTTTATCTTCCGGAGAGCTGTAGATGCGCCTGAAGTCACACGTTCTTCGTGGTCCAACGATCTGCCCCATGATGCATAGCCCCCAAAACGGCTTGGACCACTGTACCTACTGTCTTGGACAGCATGAACAGGGCTCATGCCTGATCAAGAGTATGATCGCTAGCAGCATGTGCTGCCAACTTCCTTGTGCTGTGCCGAATGATCCTCCTGGAAAAGAGCAGAAAACAGCACATCGGCGAAAGGGTGAAACACAGCCAGAGAAGAGCAGCACCGAGCCCCGCTGTGCAGAAGGCGAGGGATAGAGTACCACCAATCAGGACCAAGAATGCAAATGCCAGAAAAATCAAGAGCGACTTCACATACTCAAAGCAACCTCGCCCTTTAGGTGGAAAGAGATCGCACAAGGCAACTATGATCTGAAGACACATCGTAAACCACAGGACATCGTTAGCGATGACATCTCCAATGAACTGCGTCACGATGCTTATCAGTGGCGCATCTGCCTTCCACATGGCCAGGCATTCTTCCAGTCCTGCCGAAGCAAGAGCTGTTGCCACGAGCAAGGAGTAGGCGACGGGAGCACTGCTGCGATGAATGCCGGCCACCATCTCCTCGAACAGTTGGCCTCGCACGTACTCGCTAAATTTCTCGCTCGTACCATACCATTCTGCTATGGCGGTGTGGATGAACTCTTTGTCAAACTCGCTGCGACAGTCTGCATTCCGAACGTCGAACTGGGAAACGTCCTTCAACAGCTTACGCTTCTCCACCGCAAAGTAGCGTAGCAGGTGGACTGCAATCATAGCAGGCAGTGTGCCGAAAACAAAAGAAACCATCTGAAAATTCCCGTCGTATTCGGTGACGAAGGTAATCTGGTGCACCAAGGCTCCACAGTAAGTGCTGGCCCACAGGATCAGGATGCAGGCTTCAACGAACAGTGGTGTCATCGAAATCTTTCCAGCAGGGTTGGCCATTCGGTAGGCTGCTAGCTCAAACACGCACCAGAGCCTGCCGACAAGGCATCAACGGGACGGAAACAACCATACAGAGGCTATTGTACTCGTCTGAGGAGGTTCCTTTGCTCGCTACCTCGCCCTTTTGAGGGACCTTAGGCCTACAGCCTACCTCCTGATCAAAAACCCATTCGAGCTGGGATCTTACTTGGACTGGATGCTGCTTAGACACGACGAATCTCCGGGCTATGCAGAACGAACATCGAGCACACCTTCTTCGGTGTAGAAGCAAGGTACTACTCGCTGAAGGTTGTGTGAACCAATGGCTCGAACAAATTCAAGGGGTTGGATGTTTCCAAAAAGAACAAAGAAGCTAGCTACACAAATTCAGACGTTTTGAATGCCCACGTGAACCTGGGCCCCGCGGTCCTGTTTAGCTACATCACCCCAGCCAAAATGCAAAACGCGTTTCTGGCTCTCGTCTAGATATGGACATTCCGCTACCGGAAGCACAGGCCTTGACAAGTACGGCGGACTCCACAAGACTCGAAGTTCTCGAGCCACCGTCAAAAATCCGCCAAGGCCATAAATTCCACGCTCCATAAGAACCGGATCCGTCTGGTGAATGCTCACCTCCAGGAGCACTAGCACTAGCTGGCTATGATCCATTGAAAACGATTGCCGTTGGTGCCATAATCTGCATAGCTAGTGCAGCTAGCGTTCCATAACTTCTAGATCCTTTAGGCCAGGACTGAGGCAGCACAACTCAAGACCCTCCAACAGCCACGTGACGACATCGAAGAAGCACGTTCCCGAGCTGCTCAACCATGCGGGGATATATGCCGACAGAAGGACACCAAGCGTCGTTCCACAGAAGCCAAAGACGATAACCCAGGCTCCCAACGGGCAGGTTGCGTGGAAGCCCGCCACGTTCATCTCCACAAGTCCCGGCATGGGCAGAATATCAGAGGCACACAGAAACATCGCCAGGCAGACCGAATAGGTCCAGGACCATAGAGCAATCTTCCAGCTAGACTGCATGAGCAGGGCCAAGATCTTCCAGTTCCCGGAAGTCTGCCAGGTGTGGGAGAGAAAAATGTCAAACCCTTCCACTGTTGTGGAAAGATTCCAAAGCTGTTCCCGCTCGTTTTGGGGGAGATCGATTGGGGAACAACGCCAGAGACTCCCGCCCCGCTGAAACGTCTTGCGCAGCTCAATACCTCGGATGATCTCTTTGTCTACGACTAGGTGGCCCATCTTCTGCAGGCGGCTCCTTTTGGAGGGTGGTCGCGAGTCTTCCTCCTTGGCTTCCTGAGCACCTTGAACGGCTGGAGCCACCATCACATGGCCATGCCCAGTGCCCGCCGCCTTTCCGCGGCCCATCTGATCTCTGGGAGTGCCCACATCCGGTGGGTCAGCTTGGCAATGGAGGACCTCGGGCTGGATCACTTCCACCTGGGGATCCTCATCCTGACAGCAGCTGGCCTTTGATCCCATTCCGTAGGAGTACGGGGCACATACATACGTTACATACCTCTGAGCCCATGCTGCCAGGCTTCGGACTTGACACGTTTTTCACACAATCAAACTGCCGAGAAAGCCCGAATCTGGTCCTTGGCTACTAAGGCCCTGGGGCAAAGGCTCGCTGATCCAAGTGCTTCTCCAGAGTTTCAAGTGCCTCGCGCCGCCAGAGCCAAACGCCACCAACTTTTGGGTGAACGGGCTGCAAGGAACCGGGCAGCCGTCTTCAGAAGAGGGGCCCTGATCCCGCTTTCAGCACGGACCTGCTCGATCTGCAGAGGTGGGTTGGCGAGCTCCATCTCGCCCCAGTCAAGCCACGAGTCCACCTTTCGGAGCGAAGTCCATATTGGATCAGATTGTCTTGTACTGCATTATACGTTAGTCTAGTCCAAGTTATGTCGTACAGCCCAGACGGCCAAGGGCCAAGACCCTGCCTCGGCAGACTCAAAGAATGTGCTTCCGTACACCTTTCTCAAAAGGGGCTAACCTGCTGAAGTTCCCAGCGCACACAAGAGCACTCTGCCTCCACGCCGTCGTAGAATCTGCCGATAAAGCGCAAAATTGCGTTGGCGTACCTGGTCGCAAACGCTTTCACCAAAGCAGGCGGCCACACAAACCCGGGACCAAGCTGCACGGAGTTCCGGTGTCGGACAAGCAACGCTTCGAAAGCGCACCGAACGCTTTGCTTGTTTCCTGCGACTTCAAGACGAATTTCTGGTGGCCCAGGTGTCTTTGGCGCCTCGAGTGCGGAAGCCAATGAATGATGTGGCGCCAGCACTCTAGACTCTAGAATGGAAGCTGTCAACTGGAGGCTGTTGGGCAGTTAGGCCTACCTGTTATTCCTACAATCTGCAAGCGGGAGCAGCCGCAGCAGTCATGGCATTTCGGCCTCCAGGCGCAAGTCTACGCCTGCCGCATGGGCCGCAACAAGAATCTTCTGCGTGGAGACCTGAGAGTAGCGGAGTGGCGGGTGATCTTGGCATTCTCGGCTTCTCTCCTCCTGAAAACCTTCTGAGATTTCCACATCCGATGGGCTGGCCACGAGGCACGGAGCACCTGGCAAGTCTTTCGCTCAGCTTCCACTTCTGCAAAGCTGCGCCAAACTTCGCCAAGTGTGGCCCGGCATGGTGGCCAGTATGCTACCGCTCTGCTCAACCAGAAAGCCCAAAAGCTGCGAAGGCCATGCAAAGCTCGGTTTTCAAGTTGAGCGCAAGGGACGATCCCTGCACACCACGCCTGCTCACTTAGAGACCCTTCTGCGTGGCGTGCGCAGCGCGAGGTTCACATCTTCGATCTGTGATTGTGAAACATCTACTCCTGGGCACATCGACTTCTGCAAACCAGCCGAAGACTCGTAAGAAGCAGGCATCCTGTCTATGTGCCTGGGACGCAGAGCATTTGCGCGAAAGGCCGAAGCCAGGGGAAAATGAAAGGAAACCTTCATTCTGGCACCTCGCAGCTTCACGCTGCGCATCACAGCAATGTCGGTCATCTAGCGAGATTCTCGAGACTATGACTAGGCCATTAGCCATCCAAGCCCAGGACGCCACCCAAAAATCAGCAGCCTCTTGCCACAAGCTTGAAGCCACTCGGTGCTGTAACTGGCTCTGGGTCGAAAAGGCGCAGGTGCCAGAATCGAAAAGATGCCGCGAGCAGCCCGTGCCACATCACGTCGCCTTCTTTCCCAACATCACTTCTTTGGCCTTCAGGGCGCTACACTAGCTCTGCAGAGTGCCACATCTCCCGAGCGCCTCATTGATCTTGGAGGCGATGTATGTGGATCCACCCTTGTCCGGATGGTTTGCGATCAGCAGCCTGCCCGCGAAGTATGTGCACCTTCCTCCTGCCAGTGCCAGATCGAGCCTCCTGTGTGCTTCTCGCACTGCCTCCTTGTTTGGGGCCATGGAAGACAGATTCAGAATCTGCCGTGCCTGCAAGAAGGCTCGAGCGAAACCTCTTAGGCAGAGCTTTCTACGGTGCTGCGGTGTGGCCTCTGCACGAGTCATCGGTGCCTCGAAGCCCTGCATGCCACTGCTGAATGCTCCGAAGCCACCAAAGGCTGGCATGTTGAAGTTCACCTGCCAGGAAAAAGCTCCAAGAATCATCACAGCGGTGAGCCACACCGCCGCGCCTTGACCCCAGAGGCTCGCACGGCCCTTAAACCCTGCCGAGCAGCCAAGGCGCCCAGACCTGCGGATGGGTTGGCAGAGGGCATGCCCAGGCCCAGGGGACCCGGCTGACACCTGGCCTATGCCTCCCAGAAGCAGAGGCCACATACCTGGAAGATCATTGCACACATCGTACGAACAGGTCTTGAATCTCAGGATCCGAATACTTGGCCGTGCACTGAATGCCTGTGACGGCACAGCGTCCGACACTTTGGAAGCCCTTGACTTCGAAGTGCCTCGGCATGACTCCCCCAGACTTGCAGACATCGGCTTATCATCGCGCATCATTCATATCCGTGATAATGACATGAAACGGGCATAGGCATCGTTGCAATTTCACCACGAGAACTTTCTAATTTCTAACACTCCTGATAATGCTCAAGTCGATTCCACGCGGATTTTGACTTCGCCTGTAGACAAGTCCGGCCAGACGTGGCCTCCCTGGTCACGAACCCCTGTCGAGGATGGCCAAGGATTTAGACATGTACGGTTGCCATCTTGGAAGCACCGTAGCGTCTACAGACGGTCGCTGCTTGCTCACACTCTTCGTGTGCGTTCCACTGCGAAGTCAGCTGCGAAAGTCCTGCCCGATCGTGTCCATCCAAACATGCACTCTGATGAGCCTTAGCACTCCTACGCGTGGTGGAAGATGGGCGTCGCGGTGTCGTAAAGGATGCCGCACCTAGGCAGCTTGGGGTCTGCAATGTGGACTTCTCCAGTGACCTACCCGTACCCTCAGCCCAGGGCATGCCACAAACCGTCACCTGCGTGGGGCCCCCGTCGCAGCCTGTTCCCAACTCCGGCTGGTTGTCTGTTCCGCAAAAGCTCTCCTTCAAACACGGACACGTCTCTCGCACACCGCGACACACTCCGGATCAAGGCAATCCTCCTCATCAGTGCGGAGAAGGCGGATAAAGCCTCCCTCGCCGAAGTTCTTTCCCCAGGAATTGAGAATCTTCCAATACTTCTTTCCCAGCTCGACGTCCTGCAGCAAACTACAGCCAAACACTCCGTCACACACCGACATGTCCGCAACCGGAGTCCTTTCCGTAGCCGGTGAGGGTGACAGCATGATCGATAATCACGTCTTTGCTGCAGTAGTCGAAGATGCCCTTGAGGTACAAGTCCCATGAATCCGCGCCTCGCTGTTGCGACAGTTGCCACAAGCACTCCAAGTCGCTTTCGCGACTTGGGCAGGCGCTGACAGAGACAGCAACAGGGCCATGTTGCACGAGGGCCCGCATCCTCAGGCTGAACTCAAGCTCGACACAAAGACTGTTTGCCGATTGTTCGCCGAGTCCGAGGAGCAATGGCAGGTACTTGTTCTCCGGCAGTTTCTCCCAACCTGGAAGCCATCTCCGACGCCGCTTGCGGTAGCATCCACTGCTTCCCGGATCAAACTCAGACATCCACCGTGGATTCCCAGAGTCTGAAGTCCGACAGAGTTGCCCTTGGCTTTGCGAACCTGAGCCAAGGCCAGCGCTGGAACATGGAAGTCGAGATACTCCCGAGGCCCGAGGCACGGACGCCAGATGCTGCAAGATCATCAGAACCCGACAGCTGCAGAGCTGCTACGGCCCCTCAGCTCCGAAGTTTCTAGCGAAATGAGACAGGGATGTGCAAGACAGCACAGTGCCATGTTTGTCAAGGCTCCAGTTTGGCATTGCCGATCAGCTCCTCTCGGTCTCAACAAATCGACCCGCTCGGCATCCCAAGCCCCACCCTTGTCTGGCTACCACTGGCCCTGGTCCTTCGTATGGAACTTGCGCCTCCTCAGCTGTGCGTTACATCATGAGACGAAACCCTGCTAATTGTGACACATGGCGAAGGCTCTCCAGAAGGCCAGCGTCAGGTCTGCAGAACTACGTGACTACACCTAGCTCCTCAAGTGCAGGAGGGATGATATCCCACGGAGATGCAACGCGGTCCAGTCCTAGCCTAGCCCCCCCGTCGTCTTCCAACCTTCAGGAGAATAATGGCTGGCTGTAGGTGAGGGACTTCCAACACACACGGAAGCTCGTCGCATGGACGCTTTCAGCTCCTCCCTTCCGTGACAAGCAGTATTAGATGTTGAACTCATGGCAATCCCGCACCCCTCCAACGGTTGAATCGACTCGACACAGTCGTGTGCCGTCGGGATTCGGTTGCCAGCCCGTTCTGGACGACGTAGGCCATCGCGAGCTCCACGGTGGCTCCAGCACAACCACCGGTACCACCACAGTTCCTTAATGCATCTGATATGCAAATCTCAGTGGACTGTCTGACCCGTCTTGCTGCCACGCCACCGAGGATTCTCCACACCTGGGTGCAGAGCAGTACTTTCAGTTCGGGGATGCTCCGGGGTTCGAAAGCCTGAAAACTGCATCTCGCAAAAGGCACAAAATGTCCATGTGCTGCCGCTTGGCAGTTCACCAAATGCTGGGCGGACAGCGGCTCCTGGCGCATCGGCTCATGTCTGCTTCGTTGACTCCCACGGTCCGTCGAAGAGGTTGTGCGCGTCGGTATCTGATAGGAATCGCACATGCTGATCATCTTTGCCATTCTATACAGAAACAGACTGCTAGTGCTAGGCTGGGATAGACTTGCTGCACATTGAATTCAACCAGCAAGTATCGTCACACCGAAGCATCAGCTATTTTCTGGTGCTACGAACAGCCGTGTATCCAGATACCGCCAGTACATCGATCCAACTTTACGTTTGGTGTCAAAGAAGGTTGACTAAGTTTACTAACATTCGACGTAGCATTTTTCCTACTTTACTATCAAAACTTACGACTTACGTCTCACTTGAGGGCAACTAGCTGTGACTTGCACGCTCGCGCGGACGACAACTACAACAACTCAAACAAACAGGATGTCTGAGTGAATATTGGAGCAGGAGGTCATTGCTGGCCGCTTTGCCGAGCCGATGTCACTGCACTCGGCTCCGGAGCAAGCATGGAATCGGCTCTCGACTTCCAGAAAAGTTGATTGCTAGAAGTACAGGTCACCGAATTACTTGCAGAAGTCCAAGTTCATCCCAGACCGTGAGTTTAAGAAGCGTGTTCAAACGTGTTTGCAAACCAACGCCACACACATCAGAGGACGTCCGCCAACCCACGCCACCCTCGCCCCTGACAAAATCGGCAATGTCTGCGCGGACAGGTCCAAACCAACCCCGGGTCCAGCCAGAGAAAAATACCGTCGGCCACTGATCGTACATATTGCTGCAAACCGTTCGGAAGTTCTGCACGAACTTGTCTCGTTACATTGTATATCATCACGAAGGTACATCTCACTTCACAATGCGAATGTTTTACAGCAGCCTAAACTACAAACAAGAAAGCATTGTAAGCCCCCGGACAGAACCGACCCTACAATGTACCATTGTACCACGCTTGATATCTGGGCATTTGTCGCAGACATGTCGTAGTGGTCCTATTTACTCGGACACATACATTCATCTATATGTTTCATGGACATGCACCTTAGAAGTCTGGATCGTATTCTGTGTGCAGTATATGTGTGTCTGCTTGCATGTATGTATGTATGTATGTATGTATGCATATGCACGTACATACATACATACATACATGTGTGTGTGTGTGTATGTGTATATATATATATATATGTAGATAGATAGATACGTACAACATGCATGTACAACATGTACGTAGAATGCTATGTCCGAGTCCTGCTTTCCGAGATAGATCTCCCGGTGCGCCTCGAGCACCGTGGCCGAGGTCACCTGACTGCTCACTGTTATATATATATATATATATATATATATATATATATATATATGTATGTATGTATGTATGTATAAGGTGCAAAAAACACAAACACATACATACACGCAAACACACATGATATACACACATACAGACATACAGACAGACAGACATACATACACACATACATGCCAATGTATCGAACATGGACGAAGGTTAGAACGAAAGCAGCAAGCATATTGATATTGTGTTCAGTAATGGCCACAGCACGGCAACAGTAACGACACACATGACGACGGACAATTGGGTGCCCACCGCCCAGCAGGATCCACAGCCGCCTTGGTCTTTGGCCTGGTCGGGAAAAGGCCTCTATCTGTCGAGCATGGTGCCTGGACTGCTCGCTGACAGGAACCCTTCAAATGCCTGAAGCACCTCTGACGCCCAGGGCTTGAGATTGGTGACATGTTACCGTTGCATGGCTTTTCTTGCATGGAAACACGAAGAAGCCGACAGCGCAACTGCTAGCGACAGGCCTGGCCTGCAGCATGGTCAGGTTGGACCACTTGTTGCACTCTTCGGGAAGATCCGACTCAGACTGGAGAAGAGACATCTGCGTCCTCCCGACTCCCGACAGCAGCTTCGCGTTTTCAGCAATCCGCTGTGCACCCCACAGCTGACGCGATGCCTCAGGGCTTTTGGGCTCTTACGACCTGAAGAGCAGAATGAAAGGTCTCAGCCCTTGGTCGCAGCTTACGGCTGAGCCCGGCACTGGCGAAGCCAGCCCAGCCCTTCTTCTGACTCAGCTCCTGTGCGGACTCACATGCTTGTCACTTGGCCCTGCTGCACATCAGAGAGAGCCCTAGTCCTCCGGCGTCAGGTCTGAGAGAGGTCCCACGCCCGCAATCCACAGGTGGCCTGGCAAAGCGCGCTCTCGGAAAAAAACATGCCGCCAATCCGAATGCAAGAGGCCTGGCCTGGTCGGGAGTTGATGACCTCCGCTTTCTGGAGACGCTCGGAGAAGAGCGTGAGGCGCTTGAAATACTCATGCGTACCCTTCCTGAGATGTGAGTGCATCCGCTTCGGGTCATGTAGCATGAGACACAGAAGGCTAGTGGAAGCCGTTGCTGCGCCTGACCCAGGCCGAGGGGCTTGTAGTTGCGCCCATGCCTGCGTTTGATGCTTTCCGAACGTGTGCAGGAGCACGGAGAATCAAGAAGTCATCTGTTCGATTTATTCCGATCGATCTTCGTGTCCCTACGCCGTCATTCCCGCCAGAGCTGCTGGTCAATGAAGCTGTGAAAGGCAGCAATGTGGTTTCCCGGAACATGCTCTTTCACGAGGACGCCAGCAGCCAAGGAGGCGAGAATCGTGCCGCATGCGAATCGCAGCTGCATTGCAGTAGTAGAGTGGTTCGCCTCAGCATCCATATCGAACTGCTTGCATTATTCGCGTGCGTCTCACGAAAATGCTGGCGCGAGCCGTCCCCGAGGAGCCAGCTAGCAGATGAGTGATAATGGGTAGGCGGGGCAGAGCTGCTTAACTCTACCACCTTTTGGGCATGAGTGGCTGCGTTGTGAACACGATAGCAAGGCCAAGTGTCACAAAAACTGCACCTCCAGGGTCCCGACCTGCTGCTTTCTGGCTAGCCTTCTCAAGTTTCCCCGCATCTAGAAGCTGGGAATCTAGGCTTCCGCTTGCGCATACAGAATCCACCAAGCCTCCGCCGCCTCGGGCATGGAGAAAGCAGCTCCTAAGCCTTCCTCTGTCTCACTGAGCCGTCGTAAAAGTCAGACTCTTGCAGCGCTGGCCGCGTGATTCCGGACTCCCGCAACCCTTGGACCTTTCTTTACGCCGCCATCACGGATGGATGTCCGGTCTTTGGTCGATAAGCTTGGGCCCTCAAGGGCCTTCCGAGCAGCACAGAACGCATGAAATCGTACACATCTGTAGAGCGAGAAACAGCTTGCAGGGCTGCGTGCTGCTAGCAGAAGCCCTGAGCCAAGAGGCGTGAAACGGTCAGAAATGGAAAAACACCGGTGGAAGGTCGATGCTTCCGTCCTCGTCCCACTTCTCAAAGCTGAAGCTTGGGTCACACAAAAGGTGCACGGTTGATTTGCTGATCTTCCCTAATTCGAGACGAGATCTGCGCACGAAAGTGCTTTTTCTTACACTGACCATTCCACTTGTACCCGTGTGAAACGAATCGTGCCTATGCATCCTCTGTCGCAGGAGGTGCTCTCATGCATATTATACGCAAAACCAGCACCCGATGAAATTGCTGGTCAGCTCGACAAACATGGCAGCATGAGTTCACAGTTTCACAGCAGCAGCGGGATATGCATGGGGCAGCTAACACCTTTGACTCTGACATGCAAGTTCCTTGCTCCAAGCTTACATGGAAGGTATTCACAGCGCACCCTTTGGGCTCAAGCTTCAAAATCGCTAAGGCGACACCGCGCGTGTCATCCTGCAACCCTGCCCAGCCAGGAACCCCTAACCTATGCTTGAACTTGAAGTACACACGTAGGCGAGGGTCTACCATTTGCCAGCTTTAGCTGACAGCTGACTACTTACTGGGCTGATAAGTAGCCATACTTGGGGCTACCTCTTGGCAATGTTGATGCCGTGGAGGTAAAATCAGTCCGAGCCGACAATCGCTCCATGCAGGGCAAAGCAAAGGAAAAGAACCTGAAGCGTGCAGACAGTGTAGACTCAGAGAGATTTCAAAGCTGCTCCGAAAGGTCTTCCGAGGCTGCTGGCCCCGCCGGCGGTGACGACCATCCGCTCGGAGATGTGCTCGGCCAGGACACGACCCCCCAGGACCTGCCAGTCGAAGCTCCGAGGTCTCAGGTCTCTCAGCTCGCCCAAGGCCCAAGTCGCGGACCGCGAGGCTCGTGCAGCACGAGTGGCCGATTATGCCACCCAGCGTCACGCCCAGAGGGTCCTGCACTTGGGGTTTCGCTTTCGGTGCGAGACGCGGAGAAGCGAAGCGGCAGCCTTCGCCGCAGCCAGGGCAATGGTCGAGATCTGGGAGCGGTCACCCCACTCGGCCAAGAAGGTCAAAGTCAGCGCCTGGCAAAGGCTCACATGGCCTCGTCTATGCGCACCCCGTGCAGGAGCACCTGGCCAGCCACGGCCCAGGTCTGCTTTGCCTTGGGGCTCTCCTCCTGGGATTGCTGAGTTGCGAGACCTTTGAGACTTATGAGACTTTGATGCTACTCTGCATCAGCATGACGCAAGACAAGAAGGTCTCGGAAGCCATAGGTTCTGCGAAACTTTTAGGAATGCCTCGCGTTCCATCTGTAAACCAGTGGCTCCTTCAGGCTCTGCTCTACCTCCTCCAGCTCTTCGCTGGGCCTGCGACGTGTGCAACTTTCCAAAGTCGCAAGTTTGAAAGAGGAACCAATAGACTCCACAAGCCCAGGCAGCGAGGGTCGCAAGATCCGGTGAGCTGAAGCAAAGATCCCTTGTTGTGCGCGCGGAGCTGTGTTTCGCTTTCTGAGGGGCTGCAATTCAGCCCCATCAGATGCAGATCAACCTGCCAACTGCTGCTTCGCAGCTGAAGCAAGCTGGTGAGCACTCAGCTCAGGGACTGCGGCTCGATCGGTGAGAGCCGATGCTGTGCCTGTGAGCCAGAGGCCAAAAACTGGCCAAGACGTTGTGCAAACAACCTCCAAGCCCAAGCCCCTTCTCAGGCGTAGGCAGACCGCGTACGCCGCCCGGAGGATCCCGGCGGAGCGAGAGGACCCGCAGGGCCTGGGCCTGAAATGAGTGTGACTTTCAATGAAGCAATGCAAGTGCCGTCATGTGCCCACTGTGCCTCGGTGCGTGAAGCACTGGGCACGGCTGAAACCTGGCTCCTCCGCGTCGCGAGGCCTTAGATTGGCTTCAAGCTTCCGTCTTCGGAGCTGTCCGAGGCTGGATTACTTGTTCCTGGGTTCCTTGCGGCGGGGGCACCGGTGCCAAGCGCCGGGGCGTCTCTCCAGGCACCCGCAAGGAGCCTTTCGGATGCAACTCGACCGGCCCCCCAGTGCTCTGCACCCTGGACGCCGATGATTGCAGACACGACCCCTCCAAAAGAGACTATGTACATTGGCGAATCTTATCAGTGCGTACTATGCGTTGCCATCGCGCTTTCTCGTGCGTTGCGTTCCAGGCTACAGGTGGCCATATCAATGATGATGATGATGGTGATGATGATGATGATGAATCAAGCCGTTGAGTCATCTTCATCACCGCATCAATCATCCAAGTCCCAATTCACATGCATCAGGTTTTCAGCATCTTGCCTTTCCGCCCCGGTTTGATCTCCATGCCCTCATGGGGCTGCAGCAACTTTGAGCGCTTGGGGACCCGATCTTGGCAGGCAATCTTGATTGGATCCTGTCCGTGCTGGAAGAATGACGTGTCAGGCAACGCAGCTGTTGGCCTTCTGAGCAGGCTGAAGACGCCGCCGCGCTGCTGGGCGCGCTTCTTGTAAGCAGGATCTGCCGGCAAGTCTTCACATCGTGCTGATACCATGCGGCACATCGTAGCGAGAGAACTGACGCCTGTCCACCAAGAACAACGTCTCGCTCTGCTTCAACAACCTTCGCCTTGCAGATCGCATCGAGGGCACACGTGAGGAAACCGACAGCAGGCAGAATCATGGTACCATGAAGCTTTGACGTGTCACAAACAAATGTGAAAGTGAAAAGGCAAAAGAAGTTATGTTTTCGGTCGGCCTGGCCTGCATGGATGACAGCTTCCTCGCAAACTCGACGGAAGCTTCACGAAGCTTCTCCTTGAAATTTCTGGGAGATGCTCACACACAAAGGCAAGAAGCAGACCGCTGCGTTGCCTCGGCAGCAGTGCGCGCTTGCTGCTCGCGTTCCAACTCAAGCTGGAGTCGAGCAGCCTCCTGGAGCCATCAGCAACGATCAAATGACTCTAGGACTGGGGCTAGTAGAGGGCCCTTTTTTTCCCAGAGATAGCATGCTAAGGGCACCCGGCGAAGTCTTTCCCTTACATTACAACGCAAGCATCATGGCTAGCCAACTGAAACATGGTGCAATATGCAACACAAACCGGCGCACGCTCTGCCGGGGTGGGCCCACAAGCACAAGGAATCGCGTCGTGTCCAGGAAATTCGCTCAAACCGATCCCACACGAGACTGAGACTGCCCCGGAAGGGTAAGGGCATGTGTGGAAAGTTAGAGAAGTCGGCCTCCTGGGCCGCAGCAAGTTGGGCCCGCTGAGCCTTCGACGGAGCAAAATCGGACAGAGACGGAGCACCCCAGAGCAGTTCTCCGCGAAACCTCCACGACCTCCAAAGCAGCGGTAAGAGCCCTCCTTGGAGTTCTGGTCAACTCCAAAACGAAAGCTGAGCTCAGCAGCACTGGCATCTCAAAGGCAGCTGGCCGAGTCATGGGCTCAAGCTGCCCAACATCGCTCTGCATCTGCTGGTTGATGTTAGTCGTCTGAGGCCACAAGCACGGTGCAAGCATGAACAAGAAGATAGGCTCGTAGAGCACTTCGGTACTGGTCCTCGCATGACACGGTGAGGCATGCGGCCGCGGCTGCCGACCGCGCATCCACTACTTTTCCAGAGATTCGACAATATACGATGAGCGGGCCTGCGTGCTACCTTTAATCGATGTAGCGCCGTGTGTGCTGTGTGTAGCAGCAACTTGCCTACTTCAAGAGATGACTGAACCAAAAGTAGCAGAGTAGGAACAGCATGCTCGTGGGCCCTTCGCTGCCGACATTCAACGGATTCAAGCTGCACCAAGGCATCACGGCGATGAGCCAGGCACCCACAACCACTTCCGCTGCGCAACATCTGAAGAGCCTTCCGAGATCTCTTTCAGAAAACAGCTGGCAGAGGCCGGTCTCAGGCCTCCCAAAGGAGCTTCAGACCGAAGTACACGAAGAGCGCCACTGCGGCCCAATGGGTGTACCTTCGGAGAACGGGAGGGAGCCAAGGCGCTGCCTGCTGGAGAAGCTCGGCGCTTTTCGGCTCAGCCCGGTGCTTTCTGGGCATCAACTTGGGGAGGACCAGGCCGATGGTGGCACTCAAGGCCTACATGGCGCTAGCCTCCATGTCTGTCGGGCCCGGCGGGCCACATCCACACTCTAAGCATCTCAGCCGCCGACGGTCATCGCAGCCAGTGCACCTGCAGACCCGAAGAAGACAGCCAGCCGGTCCTGAGACAACTACTTGCGTCGGCGTATCTCGTGCATCTCATTGCCATCTCGAGGTTCTACCACTGCACAAGACACGCAGTGCAGAGCACAACATGCGACAAGGAGATGCTGGGGGCGGCGCATGTCTCATCGCGAGCAGCGCAGCAATGAAGAATGTCTTGTCACCTTTGCAAAGCTCATGTAACTTCTGCGTGAGAGCATCTGAAATCCCTCATCTGCAGACTTTCAGCAGGTTCCATTTTGAAATCTGCCAGTGTTGTGGAAGATATTCTGGACTTGTTTTCGAAAGTCCTGGAAATTTCTGCTGTGGTCGTGGAAGCTGCCTGTTGGAAAACCCCCGCCGCGGACTCTTTGCCGAGCTGCACGACACTCCGGCTTGGCACAGCGAATTAGAGCTGCATGAAACAATCGCAGCGAGAGCCATGGACGACCAGATCACCTCCTAGATGCTGCCGGTGGCATGACCATCGAAGTCCGCTGTTTGCACAGCACCTGTAGATCTTCAAAACCACCATGTGTCAATGTGAAGCACATTGGTAAAGCCTCACCCAACCGAGCATCTCCTCTGAGACTGTACACAGACCCACTGTTTGGAACTGCTTGCAGCATCTCCAGATTCACCCTACCGTTCCTGCCGATGCCCACCTGTATTTGCAGAACCGCGGTGCGCAACATTTGCTATTTGCTTTCACCGATGCGGCCTCCCGGGATGGAAATGAGAGACGTCTCCCCACATTCGTGCCACCCTTGATTTCGGCATTGTCGAAGCCTTGTCCTATGGCAGACGTAAACCTTCCGATGGCCGCGGACCGATTGCATCAGGTAGCCGTGAAGCACGGGGTGCCTCTTCGCTGCACCCATGTAACGTCCTTTTTCTATGAGTGCTCGCGGAATGTTGATCGCTGGCTGCCTCTCCAAGGTAGATATCGACATACAGCGGTGATTTCCGACATACTGAGGCCGCTGTGGACAAGCTTGAGTCAACCCTCAGTGAGCCATTCGGGATTTGTTCCTGGAATTCCAACAGCTTGCCCCCTCGAAGCCATTCCGATCGCACTGGTAGTCTAGCATAGACTGGCGAATCTGCCTGAAAACCGCAAGTCTCAAGAGCTGCTCACACGACTGAATGGGACCGGCACGACACGGCTCGAAAATGACTAAGGTTGCGGCTCTTCGCTGCACATAACCTCAACTGCGGCTTTTTGCGCGCAGTGCCCATCACCAACAGCAGTTCAACAGCATAGGCCAACCCTATCTGCAGTCCAGGGGCAAAGGGTCCCTGCCACACGACCGGTTCATGCAAAGGCTTGGCCGCACAGAGGAAGAAGGAAGCTTCGGAAGATTCCGTGCGAACCGTAACACCTTGCACTGCGGGACAACCGTGACCCACCTTTACTACCGTTGCCGGACACAAAGCCCTGTTGCCGCATGTTGCCGCCAAAGTACCATCTTCCCCAGGAGCAGCGGTGAGGACAAGGCAATGGTTCGCATCTGCAGTCACATCCGCAACCAGCACTTGGCCCAGAAGGATGTAGATGAAGGCTGAATGCCCTTCTGGAATGGACCTGGGCTGTCAACAGATTGCGATTGCACGCTCCATTTTGCCGAAGCTCACAACGAGGATCAACGAGGGACTGATGGAAGAGCGCAAACGGCTCCATGGTGAAGTGGACCCTCGGCAACACAAAAAGTAGTACTGGAAAGAGGAAAAGAAGAAAAAAGCGTCGGAGGCTTCTTGGGCTCGCTGGGCGCTCCGGCGCCAGCTCCGGGCCATGGCGAGGGCCCTCAACTGGGCCGTGTCCCAAAGCCTGAAAGCGACGCAGCGCAGAGCATCGGAGCGCAGTCGGGTCCGGGCGCCTCCCCGGCCAGGACGGCCGCGGTGATGTTTCCCCCACCGCCTTGGGCGGCCACCCGCAGCTGCGTGCCTCGAGGCTGCTCCAGATACCTCGAAAGAGCCAAGAGCCGCCCCTGTGCAGTCGTGCCAGTCGTGCACTGCAACAGGCATGGCGAGGCCAGGGCACCCAGGAGCAGCCATCTTCTCCTGGCGGAACGAGCCAAGAATGCCAAAGTATAAAGCAAGAACCTATCAAGCGTGTCAAGGTGCCAGAATGCAAGGCGGAACATAGGGGGGGAACCTATGTTTTTGGTGTCTTTTTTGTTTGTTTGTGCCTCTTTTTGTTTGTTTGCCCCCGCGTCCTGTTATTTACACAGGGAAAGAAGAAAGCAAGGAAACAAGGAAGGAGGAAGGAAGGAAGGAAGGAAAGAAGGAAGGAAGGAAGAAAGCAAGGAGACAAGGAAGAAGGAAGGAAAGGAAGCAAGGAAGCAAGGAAGAAGGATCGAAGGAAGAAACGAAAGGAAGGAAGGAAGCAAGGAAGGAAAGAAAGAAGGAAGAAAGGAAGAACAGTAGTATGTCAGTGTATAAAGTAGATATGGTGTGCATATATATATATATATATATGTATATATATATATATATGTATATATATATATATATGTAGTATATATGTCGTATATGTTATATATGTATATATATATATGTAGTATATATGTCGTATATGTTATATATATATATATAGTATATGTAGCATATATAGTATACATAGCATATATAGTATATATAATACATATAGTACATATAGTATATATATAATATATATAGTATATATAGTATATACAGTATATATAGTACATATATAGTGCATATATACATATACATATACATATAGTATATATGTTTATATATAGTATATATAGTGTATGTGTATATATATATATAAATTATAGAATATATATATGTATATATATATATATATATATGTATATATGTATATATATATATATATATGTATATATATTGTATATGTAGTATATATAGTATATGTAGTCTATATAGCATATATAGTATATGTAATACACATAGCATATATAGTATATATAGGACAGTATATATAGTATATATAGTATATATAGTATATATAGTAGATATAGTATATATAGTATATATAGTAGATATAGTATATATAGTATATATATAGTATATATAGTATATATAGTATATACAGTACATAAAATACATATAGTATATAGAGTGTGTGTATATATAAATATAGTATATACAATATATATATAGAGAGAGAAAGAGAATACATATGTGTATATATATATATATATATATATGGAGGGCCTATTATTTTGGATCTTGTTTTTTGTCTTTTTTGTTTGGTGCTTTTCCTTGGGTTTTCCTAGGGAAAACACTATCATCCTTACGTTTTGGACGGATTTGGTGTGCTTTTTCCTTGGTTTGTTTTAAGAAAACACATTCTTTTCCTTGATTTTCCCTAGGGAAAACACTGTTTTTCTTACATGTTGGACGGATTTGGTGCGATTCTCCTTGGATTTCCGCTGGAAAACCTACATGAACTCGCGTAAAACGTACATTATCTTAGGTTTTCCTCGGGACAACGCCTTTTTTTACCATCGTGGACGGACTTCGTGCGATTGTCTTTGGTTTTCTTCAGAAAAACCTTCAATACGTCGAGCAAAGAGTACGTAACCTTGCGTTGTTCTAGGAAAAAAAAGAGTGCCCAAAAAAAATCTCCACCCGGGGGTACATGGGCCATACAGCTCTGAGATGGAGCAATAAAATGCATTCAGAGAGCCACGGGATCACAGAAAGCAATTGTTTTTCAAGCAAATATGGGGTCTTGGCCGACATGGTCGATGAGACCAGAGAGGCACAAAGGTCGCGAAACGAGGGCAGGACAAGTTCTTGTCTCACATTGCTGCAGTTGATGTCACCACGGACGTCTATCTGGGCTCTGCTTCATGCTGCACAAGTCTTCAAGGTTACGGTAGTCCTGTTCAGGCAGATTGATCCACATCTGGAGCCCCCGTGCGAAGAAGTGGCTTTCAGGCACCTTTCCAGGCACACAACGAAATGAGGCATGGCAAAAGTGCTGTTGAAGGCAGTCACAGTATTGACTTCGTCGCTGTCCTCGCCTCGGAGTGTAGGATCCCACGTCCACAGGTCATCCACTGTGCGTCGCCCGGCTGAAGACTGCCGGCATTGCCTGCAGATGTGTCTTTTACAGGCTTTTCCTCAGCCATGACAGGCAACCACACCGAAGGAAGTTGCCCAAATGCTCCCTGCCTAGGAAATCCTCGTGGGAGAGGGCTCCCGGAGAAGACGGCAGCAGGTAGGTCATGGTGATAAAGCCACGATGGGCATGATCTGGAAATCCGTCTGGCAGTGCCACGGTGAAGTCCTCGGAAACGGGAAATCCGAAAATGCAGGCTGCAAGGCATAGATCGAAGATGACCAATTAGACCCTGACATCAAGGGCCAGGATGGGATCCAAGTCGGCAGAATCCTTCGCAGGACTTCCACACTCAAAGAACTGGTTCGCGGTCGTTGGCCAAGCCGTCCTGCGAATCCGGGCGTATGGGCCGTCTCACATCTGTGGTGCCACCACCAGACTGCTCGTGTGCGAAGGAGCTCCGAAGCACTTGCCTTCACTCACGGAACAGATGGCAGCAGCTGAGCGACACCCTCGAACATTTTTTCAGTCTCCGCCTGGGCATGGCCGGAGCATCTGGCATCGTCCCAGGAATCCAAACGTCAAGGGGCGCATCGGCCACCTTCCAGGCAGGATCAAGCAGGTCAGTGGGTCAAGAGCGCTTCCAGTGAGAGCGCTTCCAGTGCACGGCGTCCCCAGCCCAAGCTGCCTTCTCAGGAGGATCACCACGAGTTCTGCGGCTCAGCTTAGAAAGCCACCACCTGCATGCAACTTCGATTCTGGGCAAGCGATGTGCACCGAGAGGAACGAGAAACTGAGCCGAGGACATGTGCAAAGCTGTCGAAGTCGCGATGCAAAACGATTGCCAGCATGTAGATAGGCACCCGGGAGCTCAGATTCAGACACGAGAGGAAGCTTCAACCGCGCTTCAACACGAGTCCAGTCAGCGGCTGCACTACTGCTTTGCCTGCGGTCGGGCTGCAGTCTTGAGCCGCGCAGGACACATCTTCGCGTGTGAGAGTGCTTTAACGTGGCTGCTCTGCTCTTGGGGCGTCACCCAGCTCGGTGACCAAGATCATCAGGAAGCTGTTGCTGAAAGCCTCTCGAAGGTCTGCAGGCTCTCTTTTCGGGGTCGTTTAGAAAAGCCCAGGCCAGTGGCCCCCTTTATCCCCTTGCTCAGCTCTGTTCTCGCCTCCTGCAGGGTTCCCAGCTCCGCCAGGTCGCTGGCTACGTCCAGTCCAGTGGAATTCCTCGGGGCGGGCGGGGCATGGCGGAATGCGGCGGAGTCCGAGAGTCCGAGTCCGAGGAGGCCGAGATAGGCCGAGACAAGGCATGTGAAGCGAAGCCGGCTTTCCAAAGCAGAGGCTTTTGTTCAAACGATCTGCTTTCCGGGCACCGCACACCGCCATACTCTGCCTGACAAAAGCTTCCCGGCTACCGCCCCCGACAAGCGCGAACTTGACCTGAAACCTGAAGGCTTGTGCCTTTTACGGCGTCTCCTTTTGGGATCCGTGCTTCTGAGGGCAACAGGCTTCTGGGCTACGAGCTGGCTTGAGGCAAAGGATCATGGCCTCCTAAATTGAACATGTTGTCATTTCTTCCCAGGGGCCTCGCTAGCAACACGAGAGCCTTATGCAACACATCACCCCGAGAAAACACATCCGTATGTGCGAACGAGAGATTCATTCCGACAGGGACTCTGAGAAAGTGCTTTCTGCTTGAGCTCGTGCTCAATGGCGAAAGGTCCCGTTCTCACGGCCTCCACGTCAAAAGCTGAACTACGACCTATGCTACCCTGGCTGGGATTTGGCTGCTGGCGCATCACGAGCCAGACACCGAACAAGACATACAATCAGTCTTGATCTTGTCTTGATGCACAGTGAAGAACACAAGTCACAAGCACCGACAGGACAAAGGCAAGTTTTTTGATCAGCACAGGACATGTTGCGGAGGAGTCGCGAAGGCTGTGCCTCAGCCCTGTGAAAGCTGTATTGAAACGATGGGATGCGGCTTTCGGCACTCTCATCTAATCTACATCTCTGCACACGATGGCTAAGCGATGGATGATAACAGGCTTTACTCAGCGCAGTTCGTGTGACTGCTGTATTCAAGTGGCTGTGAGGAATTTGCTCCTGCTGCACTCGCAGCTTCAGCCAGTTGAACAGCTCGTTTCATCTCATCTTCCTGGAAGTAGTCATGGATCTTCTTCGCCAGGTCCTCATCAGAGCTGCATGTTCCCCAGCGTTTGTGGTGCAAGCCCTGCAACCAATCCGGGTGACACTCCTCCAGCTCGTCTAGGTTGGGGTTTTCGACCATGCCTCCTGGCTGACTAAACTGTCGGAGCACGAGCGTTCATGGGGATTTGAGCCAAGGCTATGCATGAATGTTGGATGCTGAGGCCAGCTCGGTGGAACTCCATAAACTCGCTTCGGAGAAGCTGGCGCCGGTGTCCGGGGTGAGCCTTGGAATTGAAGCTACTGAAACGTGCGGTCTTTTGCAGGCATTGGCCCAAGGTACATAGGTGACCACCAGATACACGAACTTTTCAACAAGCACACAGTTCCCCGTCCTGCTCCAGGTACTCATCGAAACCATTCCAAAACCTGTCTGCCTCCAACTTCAAGTCCACCTGACCACTTCCACTTGTCATCGAGTTCAGTGGTTCTAGATCATGGTTTGTCTTTCAATGTCCTGTCTTTGTGATGCATGCAGAGTTCCCGGCATGAGTGCGTTTGGGGAATACAGCAAAACCCAGGCACTACAATCAACGATTCCGCTCGCACTTTGCTGGCATCGACATCAACAGGTTGCCTGGTAGAACAATGCGTGTACATGCAAACTACGAAAGAAGCGAGCGCAGTGATGTGAATAACACTTCTCGCAGTCAAGCTTAGAAAAGTTGATGGTCGCCATTTGGCGATTGGCTAAACCACGGCCTCTGCCCTGTGCGAAGTGCGGACAGCTCCACTCATGGTGGAGGGGTTCTTGTTGACCCCGCAAGCTGTCCACATCAAAACCATTCAGGACCTATAACGTCCATTGCCTGGTTTCAAGCTTCCAGAAGCTCTGACACCAGGTCCAGAAGCCACGGAGAGGACACGATGGTCAGGTGTTCGTCGTGGCAGCCCGGAGGGGCACCATGAAGGAAGACAGAAGCACCCTTCTCAACCCATCCCGCCTGTAGCCTCTCAGCGCTGGCCGCAGTGACTGTTCCATCGCCTGGCACATACTGGGTGATTTTTGGGATGTCCTGAAAGTCTGCAGTTTCGAAGGTGAGCTGGTTCACGGTGTCCATGTTTCTACCATAGAGAAAATGTGAAGGGACGGCCGGAGGCTCGAGACTCGACCAGACCTCCTGGGCATAGGGGAAGAAGTCGAAGCGTGCAGCGTCTTTTCCCAAAGCTTTCTCCAGGTCTCCGACGAACTCTTTGATCTCTTTGGCCGTGTAACTGCGCTCTGGCGTCACGACGATCTTGTGATTGGGATCGAAAGCTTCTGTGTCTCCGACGGTTAGGGGAAGTAGGCAGCCCATGGCAGGTGAGGAGATGGTGGCCTTCTTCCAGAAATTTTCCACTCCTTCGGGGAGAGTGCCCAAACCTGAAATGATGCCGATAGGATTATGTGCGTATGCTGAACATCCTTTCGGACAGCCCATGATGACCGGAGTGATAAAAATTACCTTGTCCAGGTACTTCCGCTGCCACGCACCGCCCATGGTAGACAGTACGTAAAGAAGCACGGAACAGCCCATCGAGTGACCAATCAACGTAACAGGCTGCTGCGTAAGCACAAACTCTTCTTCTACCTGCTTTGCCAAAGACTCCGCGTAGCACTCCATGAAGCTCAAGTCTCCCCATCGTCGCCAGTCATAACTTGCAGACTGGAGACGAAAGCGGTCCACCAGCTTCTCGATCAACTCATACAAAACAGGAATCATGACTTCCTCGGCTGGGTTGATAGCAGCAACTCCATCTAGGCCAGGATATGGCCGAACCTCAACCCCATCCTGCTCCTTGGTGACGAATACCTCACGGCCACTTTTGAGCTTGCCAGGTATCTGTTCCAGTTCTAAGGTATTTCGGAGAAGCTCGGGGGAGGTCACCACGGCCTCGATCGATGCCCAGGCGGTGTTCCAACCCTCGCTTCTGCAACACGGCAAATAACACCCTGCATCAGTGCCGGGCTTGATCCGATTCTGCAGGGAACAGGCGGCAATCCCGTGTGCCAGGATCACAGTCTTGTTGCCCGACTGGGCCCGCGAGTTGTAGCTCGTATCATAGCAGCATTTCGCGATGAAATGCACGCCACCCATGGTCTAAACTTTGTTCTAAACCTTTCCTGCTCAAGCTTGTTATCTGGATAACTGACAGCGCTAGACTTGGAGTACCGCTCTGGCCATATGTTCACAAAGCGTTTTCATGGTCGAAACAAAAGAGCTATTAATCTGACACAGGGCCAACACAACAATGGACATGCACAGGATTTCGCACATCGCTGGTCCACGGAGCTACTTGCAGTCAGTCAAACGCCACGTCCAGCCGTCCAGCCTTCACACCACCGAGTTCAACTTCACGTGACATCACCCGGCTGCTTGCATTTGCCGGGACAAGTGTGTGGGACGACTACAAGGGCTCTGGAGCCACTTTTGCCGGACGTACAATGCAAGAAACCGTACACCGGGAACCGAACTTCAAGACAAGGGCTTCCCGGTACAGGCGACATGAGACAAGGACACAAGGGTCGACAACATGACGATCGGCAGAATGCCATGCACTTGTGCGATTTTACGCTCTCGGCCCTGACATCCCCACCTACCGAACCATGACAAGTCCGCACGTTCTAGCGCGTCTCGGCATCAGGTTCCAGTTGAAATCTGTTATGATCTCAACAGACTTGCAGGTGGATTGTTTTCTGAACTGTGACTTGTCATGCTTCCCTACGGTCTCGCCCGCCTTTTGGCAGCAACACCACGAAAGGCTCCGTGGCAATTTCAACGCCTGGGCCTGGCATACCTGTATCTCCTGAGACAAGGAGTGCCTGGGCACATACTATACTATGTTGTACATACATCTGCAAAGGCCCCTGGCACACGAAAAGATTGCCTCGGAGTAGCGTAAAATTGATTTCAGACAACAGCACGATGGCGCTTCTCAGGCTGCCACTCCTGCGGAAGAAGCTGAACGAAACTGAATGCGTACATGTAGCAAAGGCATCATCCGCAACGTGTGTCGATGACAATTTTCCACAGGACTCGCCCTGCAACCCGTCCTAGATTCCCTCAATTCTTCTGAGGATCCTCGCAGCTGCGGCATAGGCAAACACGGATCTCTGCAGGCTTTCTGTGCCTCCTTGTCAAAAATGTGCACTCGCACAAAGCCGTCCTTTCAAGCGGAGATAGAGCGACGACATAAATCATGGGCCACAGGGATAAAAACCGGCCTCGGAGCCCGAGGCGATGGCCGAGCCGTCGCCGGCAAAGGCCAAGGTGTGGACCTGGCGCCCACACCCCCAGAGCCAGGTCCAACAGAGGCCGGAGGGGGAGGAGGGCCGAAGAGGGCTGCGATTTCACGTCTGTTGCCCGAGCCAGGAGGACAGGACCAAAGTGACCTTTGTTGGTGACACCATCCGCCTCGCCAGAGGCAACGGCTCAGCGCTGGCAGCGGTAGAGACAAGGTACAGTTTACAGCCATGCCTTGAGATCACTTGGCAACTTCTCGGCTGCTCCCAGGCGGAAGAGTAGCGTCCCGAACTGTTCGGTGGCACTGCTGCTCCGAGCAACGTCCCGGACGTCCTGGCTTTTTTGCGTTGACAGACCTTCAACTTCCCTTCATGCGATCCTGGCCACCAGCGGCGACCACGCAAATACACCCTGGACGCTCAGCTGGAGCCTCGGAGACCAACTGCGGACTCTTCCGTGACTTTGAAAACCCAGCTCACCAGGCGTAGCGAAAATCTTTGAGGTCGCGGCGCCGAGGGCTTGCTTCTGTGACAGCGGTCCCAGGGCCACGGCATTCAGCGGCCGGTCCTCCCAAAAAGACCAAAGAGAGCACCAGAAAGAGAGAGGCTGCGATGTCGTTTTTCGGGAGCTGGGCATCCGGCCGTCTGCGCCTTGTACAACATCCTCCACTCGGTCCCTGCAGACTTCTGACTTCTCAAGAGCTCAGAAGATCCTTACCAGTGCACTGGCCTTTTCCGATGTCCCAAATACAGACACTCATGTCCTCAGCGTGTATTTGAAACCTCTCTGAAGCGAAAGCTGCTGCTTGCTCTGGGCAGTGACGCGGAGAAGGAGAGACACAAACACCCAACTGAGGACTGCACGTGTGAGACGGTAGCCACAAGCTCGCGGTCATCATTGAAGTCAAACTTCGAAATGCCGGCATCGTGAGCCTGTCAGGACGTGAGCATGAGAAGGCATGACAGTCCACGAAAGTCCAACATTTTGCATGCGTCGGCCAACGACAATAAGACTGACACCAAGTTTGTGCATGCATTGAAGCTTCCAAAGTCTGCACTGAGGCCTTCAGCCGCTTCACTTCAGCACCAGTGTCTGCTCGCCAAAAAATCAGCTCGCCTGTCAGTCCACTGTCTCTGTGTGTGCGTTCCACACTAATTCAATAGCACAGCTACTTCTCGAACCAACTGTAGCACTGCTTCCTGTGCAAACTAAACTGAGAGGACGACCACTGTCGTGTGCGCTTGCAATGAAGTAGTTGGCCCTGCCCCATCTCACCTTGCAGGGCATCCGAAGGAGTAACAAAGTTGCTTTGGCAAAGGAAACAAAGAACCCAGAGACGCGTCATCGTGGGAAGAAACAAAGAGCCGGCGACTGCAAGTCGCCGGATCCAAAAAGGCTTCTTCTCGGCTCTAGGCTGCCCCGTTTAAATGCATCTCTGAAAAGAAAGAAACGCCCTGATTGCTGCCGGAAGCTCTGGGCGCCTGGAGTGCCGCCGAAGGGAGCTTGGAGATGACACGAAGCTCCTGGCCGGAGAGGCACCGCTCGCTGTGGGACAAAAAGGGTTCGAGCGAGGCCTGGATGGATTTGCCATCGAAGCGCCAAACCTCGGGCTCGGGTCGCAAAGCCCAGGAGATAAGCAGCCATGGTGGCTTCAGCTTCCTTTCTACTTCCCAAGGACTCGACGGTCAATGCAGGGGGATGTGCACCAAAGCGATTGTGTGCAGTCCTTGGCACCAGAATTTCGCACATACCCAGACATGCTCCAGAACATGTGGCTCCAAGACATGCTTGGCAAGTCTTCTCACTTGCGCCGGAATGGCTCCAGCGAGTAAGGCAAGGACACAAAGCGCTCACTGACGTCCGAAGCATTCACACCAGGAGCTGAGGAAGGACAGGATGGCACAAGTTCAGTCATGACCCTTAGTGCAAACAATGCCTGGAATTACTTGCGGAACGCAACACGTCGCAGGAACGAGCCTGCTCCAGCCCATTCTACACATCGCACAACACCAGGAAGTTCAACGCGGGCCAGCTCCCTTGGCTGCAATTTTGCCAGAGCTTCGCCACAAAGCAATCAGTCCGCGGGGGCCACAGAACTCACGCGCGCGCGCCTGGAGGTATGAGCCTCCCAGACGATGACGAGCCGGTCTGCGCCACATGTCACAAGCCACCTCCCAAGAAGCGTGAGCAAGTTTCACGAACGACGAGAAGATGTGCGAAGAAAAGCAGCACGCACTGTTGCAGCAGCACTCTTTCTCCAACTGCACGTCAGTCAGAGCTCGCACAAAACGACGCTCTTGATCCACTGAGCCTTTGCTTCTCTGCCTCGTGTGCCGCCGGTGCTCGAACATCATCGCATATCCCCAGGTGGTGCAGACCAGGTGCTGGACAGTCAAACTTTTCACATTACCCTGCACCGCTCCTGTTACGGCTGACAGCAGCCTGTGATCACAGTGCTGCAACTCAGCATACGACCACACGGTGTTCGACAAGTCTTGGGACTTGAAAGACTCAAGTCTGCCCAGGGCATACTCAGCAAAACAGTGCAAGAGCCGATGATCGTGATGACCTGTCTCGGCCATCGCCCAGACAGAGTTCACCGCCGCCTGGATACTGAACTCCGATAGCCTCTCCGAAACATGGTCCCCTGATACCAGAAACAACTCTGGCTCGTAGTATCGCGCCTTTGCAAACGCCCAAAGCGAGTTAGATATGTTCTGTGGCGAAAACTCTCCCAAGCTTTGCATTGTGGTCTCTGCCATGCTTGTATACAGAGCGTGGTCAGCACGAAGCCGAAGCTTCGCAAAGGCCCAGACCGTGTTGGCCAGACCTTGTGGAGCGAATCCTGGTACAGCGATTCTCGAAAACTCTGCCAGCCGATTGAGTTGCAGCTTCGGGTTCCGTACCTCAGTCTTTGCGAAGGCCCAGATGATGTTGGCCAGCCCTCGTGGTTGGAGTTCGGGAAGTGACTTGGCAACAGCCTCCGCCAGAATCTCGAAGAGTCCTTCTCTATCATGGTTTTTATTGATATAGGTTTTTAGGTTCTTTAAAAAAATCTCGAAGAGTCCTTCTCCATCCTCAGAGTGGAGCTTGGCAAAGGCCCAGGTCGCCTTGGCGAGCTCCACAGGCGCCAGCTCGGCAATCCGAACGCTGAGACTCTGCGTCAGGGCCCTCTGCAATCCTCCAAGGGAAGAGAAGAGAAGAGAGGGAGAGAGAGAGAGAGAGAGGGAGAGGGAGAGGGAGAGAGAGAGAGAGAGAGAGAGAGAGAAAGAGAGAGAGAGAGGGAGGGAGGGAGGGAGGGAGGGAGAGGGAGAGAGAGAGAGAGAGAGCAACGGGCAACCGAACGCAACTTCGCAGAAAGGCTTCGGGTCCTGTCCTTCGTCACGATGCTGCAGCTTCGCCATGGACCATGTGAGGTCAGCCAAGCCACGCGGATCGAAATGGCCAAGGTTCCTCTGAACCTCTGCAGACAGGATCTCCAAGATCTCTGGCTGCAAGCACCTCCAGATTCGACGCCATCTGCAACGACTGCAGGATCTCAGCCCTTCCCGCCTCGCCCTGGCGAATTTCCAAGGTAGCTTCGTGAGCCACTGCATTGGCAGCTCGTCGCCTAGGGAAAACTACCGACAACTGTTCCTGTTTTTGGTCGGCATCCCGCATCTGCGCATGGATTTATTGGCCCCCTCCAGAAGAAGTATTAACCATGAGCGCATGCTGCTGACAATGAAGATCACAATCATTGTCCTGCATCCTCTGGTCCAGCCTGTTGAAGCTACTGTGAATATTCTCAGTTCCCCAAACATAGCCTTTGTCCCGGTGTGAAACACTCTATGCTCTCGGCTGCTAGGGCGCAGCGGCGCAGCGCAGTCGAAACATCACGCCACATCTTTGGGTCCTGCACCTTTGCACTGGCCATGGTGGAGGCCAGAACCATTGCCTCCGCGAACTGACAACATGCACGAATCGGGACGTCCTATGTACAAACGAATACCATGAACAAGAAAGCATCGAAACTTCTGGCAAAAGTTTTGCGGCATGTCACTGATGATGCTAACAGTAGGGAGAGGAAGAGAGCGCAAATCGTGCTAGTATTGCCAACATTCAATACTAGGCTCCCGCAGGGACATTAGAAGGTACATGCTAGTCATGTCCTGAGGAGAACATGTCGAATAAGAATTGCCAGGGTTAACAAGCTTTTCCGTTCTATTTACTCAACATTAAGCCGGCTTGATCCTGTCAGACAACTTGAGTTGCTTGCAGGACTATTGAAATTCTTCATACTAGTGGCACGCGCAACACTCAGACTTATGATAACAGTAGACCCCAAACCCAAAGGTAGTATGATCGGCCATACTCGTGGCACCCGTAGCACTCAGACTTATGATAACAACCCAAAACCCAAAGCTAGTATGATCGGCCACAATATTATCCAAGGGCTGCGTAGTCCTTTTCCAGGCCAACAAACAAGCCAGTCCAGACGAACATCCCGTTGCAGTGCTTGCTTACATATGCCTGCATAGATATATATATATATATATATATATATATATATATATATATATTATATATATATATATATACACACATATGTATGTATATTTATATATACTTATATATTTGTTAATGATACTTTATGTGCTTGTATTCATATTTCGTATCTAATTAATCTAATTGTTTATGAATTCATTACTATTTCTGCGTACGCAAATACATCTTTGTATACATATATATATATATATATACACATACAGACGGATGTAGAAATAGATACAGGTATAGATGTAGGATATAGATGTAGATACAAATATGGAAATAGAAACAAACATGGATATAGAAACGAATACAGACTGACATACTGACGTAGATATGCATACATACGTACATTATAAATAGCTATCTATGTCTAAAAACCTTCGTAGATATCATATATATATATACATACATTTTCTGTATTTGATATCGAAATATTGGGAGGGTCTGGGTTTACACGTATACATACAAACATCTGTCCATCCATTCATCCATCCATACACACATCTGTGCCTACACGTCTTACAAGATCAAGAAACGAGGCACGGGACCTTGAGTGTGCAATTTGCTTTCGAAACTGCGGATAATACTGAATCTACCCATGTCTTCTAAGCATCCTGGTAGTGCTTCTCCTGCCTCGTCTGCCGCTAGGACTGGACCATTCAGCTGATCTCTCAAAGCCTGCAGAAGATCCTCAAGTCATTCAACAGCTGCAGAAGAAGTAGAAGCCAGGTCGCAGACTTAAGTTCTGAGAATTAGTCTGAGCTATTCTGGCCAGGATGCCGGACGCGCTCCTTGTGTCCGAATCTTGAGAAGCAACTCGGCAAGCGGCGTGGCCCTGACAGCTGGAGACATCTGCTGCGATCGCCAATGGTGGCCAACGTCCTGTGCACAGTTCAAGCCATTCAAATTTGCTTCTTTACACTGCAACTTCCTACAAGTCGCACCTGGATCGCAACACAACCATTCGCGAGCACGGCACTGCCGTCTGCACTCGCATGGGTTGCATCGTGTCAGGATGTTCCAAGATAAAACAGGCGGGTCAACCATTTGTCCCCTCTGAAACTATCTGTGCGTTTGGTTGGCGCACTTATTTTCCAATACAGCGGCACATGACATTGCTCTGCTTGAGCCCATGCACAATGGTCCGTGTGACAAGTTCAGGTCATGTTCAACTCAATATCTGCTAAGGGAGGTCTGTGAGATTCTAGGGCACGGGTCCTGTGCTTGAATCTGAGTATCACCGGCCTGGAGTCAAAGGTAGCACTGCAGGACCACACCTGGCAGTTCCAAGCACCAGAAGCACTTCGTGGAGCCTTGCCGAGAAACTGCCAGGCTGGCGGCTCCGTTGTGGCCCCGGTAGCTGCCAAGAAGCTCTCCATCCGGAAAGCTCCAGACGCAAACGAGCTTGTCCTCAGGCGACGCGCGGGACAGACTCGTGATCGTAACACAAGGTGCAGTGCAGTCCTTGCCGCAGGAGAAAAGCAGATTGTTCTCGTGGTTGAATGTGATGAAAGTCACCTGAAGAAGCCATTGTGCACTGGAACGTGTCATGGCATTGGTTGTTAGTTCGCTCTTGTGGCACGGTGTTCTTGCGTCTGTGCACCGCAAACATCTGCTTCAGGCAAATGCCGTGGTGCGCTGAAAGACGGCTTTCTGAAGGACCCATGGCTGACGAACTCCAGGGTCAAGATGGATTATCTTTGCTTGCCAAACTTTGGGCCGAAGCCAATGTCAGGTGACGATCTGCACTAAGAGGACAGTGAGAGAGCATATTACCATATCTCATATCCCCCGCTGATCGCATCAACATGCGTTCTTTTTTACAAAAATCAGCAGCACAGCGCTCCCACAGTCAACCGTGGATCCGGCCGGCCGTTCATGCCCGCGAAGTGTGGGACCTTGAGCATCGTGCCTCGGTTTTTTCTGCACAGCTCTACTCTGGTTAGAGGGAGGCCATCACGAGTTCGGCGTGGGCATGCGACAGCAGCGGCTGCAAATGTCATCGCATGACTTGATGACCCCGACACAAGAGAATTATCCGAGCCGTCGGAAGTCCAGAAAATGCAGTGTTATAGGAGGCTGAAGACAAGTGCAGAATCAAGCGACGACGAAGTCCTAGGTAAGCTCCAAGACTACAGAAGACAACCGGCCGCTCCGTCAATAGACGTTGGACACTCGACCAACAGTTATGGCCATGAAGAAGACAGAGGCGGCGACCCCGGCTTATTGACAGTCACAGCTGGTCGCTCGGTCACACCCGGATCGGCATCGCCCTCAGAGCATGAAGGAAAAGACACAAAGACATGCAGACATGCACTAACAGACTCATTTGTTGTCTTCTCGTCATCGAAACTCAAGGCCGCTGCTTGCGATCGTCTGAGCTCCAAAGGCTCGCCACTTTTGCGTGGCTGCCACATCTCCTTCGGCTTGGAGACCTGCTTGCACCATCGCATCTGCGCCAATGAGTTCTGTTTCTCAATGTGCTTGGCCACTGGCCTTCTCTATGATGGAATCGAAGTCAGCTGCATCCGTGCCGGAAGCAACTCCTTTTCTTTGCCGGGGTGCCGTCGCGTACCTGTCCGATGTCAACAGGTGTGACAGATGCCAAGTGCGAGGCTTTCCGCATATCAGCTCGATGGTCGCACGGATCGCGTCCTCAGTGTTGAGTCGCACGATCAGCTGAAATGTGCCAAGGCTTGACAGGAAATCTGACGAAAAGCAGCGCATGCCACCTGAGTATACGGCTAGGCTGCAACCGCGAGACTGGACGACTGTTGCCCCGAGACCTGCCGGGAGAACACGTTGCAAAGACCGGCCGGCTTGGCCTGGGACCCGAGGCAAAGAAAAGAGCGCCTGAGGCCGTTGGATCGCGCTCGCGCATCTGATAGTTCCGACTCATTCTCCTCCTCCTCCTCTTCTGCTTCCTGACCACACAGAAGCCTAGTCGTCTAGTAAACCTAAGTTCTTGCCGTGCTCATGAACAGGCCAATCTCCGCAACCCACGTTCCACACAAGGCCTGCTCTGATCTTTGCCGTACCAACCTGAAGTTGAATCCGACTCATCGGATGAATGCAGCGCTTCTTGTGTGCATTACACCAGTTGCAGCTTGTCAGCATACGGCTCAACAATGCAGGTGTGATACAAATGTCTCACTGGCCATGGAAGAGTGAAGTTGCAGTAACAGTAGCTTCTTTGCACGCAAACTTTCCCCAAAAGCTTCTGGCCAAGCCAGAAAGAGCACGAGCACCACTCGCAGGAGCCATCGGATCACGGTGGTCACCTGCAAATTTTGGTCACATTTCCTTACGCACGCATGAAATTTGTTCAAAGCACGGCCACGCACACACAGTCTATCGAGGAAGGAAATTGTAACTCTTGAATGTAGGCCATGGTCCATTCGCTCCTCTGGCTTCTGGAAGTCAAACCCGAGCATGTCAACCTTGTGCACACCAACTGCTACTGCATCCCTACTAGCGATGTCGGCTCATCGTTAATCATGTATGCCACATGCATATGGTGGCATTGTACAATACTGCGACAAGAGTTGCTGTCAAAACAACATAGGCAACATCTGCACAGCGCGCAAACTGGCAGAGAAGACAGGATAGCAAACGCCATAAACCGATGCCGCCCAAGTGCTTGAAGACATGGCCGAACAGAACATGATGTTGCAGTTTCAGATTACACAGCTCTAATTTGCAGGCTGTCACGAGGAACTAGGAACTGGATCCTCTTGTGCTGACACAAAAAGATTTTTACGCACAGCTGTTCCATCGGTACCTGCTTACACTCATACTTCACAGGCTTGCAGGCATACATACAGCTAGTTGTACATAGATGTACAGATGTATATGCGTGTATGCATGTATGTACACGCGCATATGTGTGAGTATGATTGTAATCAAACATGCACATCTATACTTTCGTACAGATACTGTGCTATTTATGTATCTGACTATGCAAATGTAAAGACATATGGATCTACATAACTATATATATATATATACATGTGCAGAATCCTCCGGCATCAAGCACTATTTCGATGCAAAAGCTGCGGGCATAACACTCCATGACGCAACCATACATGAGTTTGGTTTGCAGTCTTTCGGAATTTGATGAACGGCCCAACCCAGGAAAGCGGAACGTGACCTCGTGAAGCATTGTGTCTTGGCCCTCCTTCCCTCCCCTTCCCTCCGTCCCACCGTTCCCTTTCTCAGTGGCCGGGTGATCCCTTGAAAGTGGAGGCAAAGGACATCACCACACTCGACAACAGCATCTCGCAGAGCACAACTTCTTGCTTTTTCGCCCTTCGCAATAAGCATGTCTGTCAAATAGCAAGACACTGAAAAGCAGAGCCGAGAGCAGAGCTGCTGGCAGCTTCTTGAAGGCCGCAGCATTGCAGGTGAGGACGGATGAAGTACCCGGGGTTATCGTGGAAGTTGCCGACATGTCCTTTCCATGATTTCATTGTACTTTGGACCGGTCCTGACAACTACCATCAGCATCATAACTCCGCGGGACTCACCATCCTCTGTAGTAACCAGACATGAACATGCTGAATGCCATGCGGGTCTTGACCACTATCGAAGAAAACCCAAATCCAAACTGATTTCAGGCAGTTCAAGTTGCAGCAGGGCAAGAGAAGTCTTTACAGCGATCATCCCTGAGCACTTGAAATGGGTAGGGGAGAAAGGCGACCGCGACACCGTGATTTGTGAGCCTCGACCGATGCATTCGGACTGCGTCACCATCCAACGGGCGTCATCGTTGTTACACGGCTCTGTGATGATCGTGTTGCAGGTCGTCAGGTCCACGGTGGTTACTACCACGTCCTCGCAAGTCGGGCAATGACGGCAAGAGCCTAGAAAAGCACCTGACTAAGAGTCCGGTTCCCGAGGTCCCCAGCGGCATCCTGGCCGCTCAAGGTGTGCGGGAGCTGCAAAGTTGCAGAGTCTCTGGAGTGCAGCGGAATCTCGAATGAGAAGAAGGTCGCCTCGCAGTTGTAGCTCGGAAGGAAGGCCGATAACAGTTTGTGGGATGTCATTATGAACTGTGACGTCCTTGGGGAGAAGATGCAGACGTGAAGCGTCAACTCCCAGGTCCAGTGCCAGCAGCTCCTGTCTTCCGCACACATCCTGGAGCAAGCCTGGGGCGAGTCCACGCCAAAGCTCCAGGAAGACCACGGCTTGTAGTAGAAGCTTTCAGCCGCAGTGCAGGTACCCGACGTGGGCCGTTTTGTGCCGAGTCGCTGCTAACATTCCCAACGCGCGGCTGTGTTCCGGCGGCGGTCTTCCCAGTCTACAACAAGATAGCTGTGGCGGCCACAGCCAGTTCCATGGTGGCCCTGTCTGTAGCACCTTTTGCGGGAGTTGTGATTGCAATACCACGTCTAGAGTCTAGCGGTTGTCGGACCAGCGGTGCATCATCACCCCCGTTCGCGTATGCTGGGGTACGTGAACCCAGCCGCGAGCTGTCTCCACTCGCACGTCCTCTCGGCAATCATCATCTGTCCTGCCACTGTAATGGAAGCGGCTGTGGTCGTCAAGGTACCTGTCACAGACAAGTCCAACCGAAATAATCGTCCGATCACTGTTCTCCAGCTGGACAACGATCTTGTTCACATGACGATCAAAGCGGACCCACTCATCACATCAGCTGTGACCACAGCCACAGCAGCAGCACCAGCGGAAGTTTTTCTTGGGTTCCGAAGAAATCATGGAGTAGGCCTCATGACCTTTCTGAATGTGCCGCTCCCACTCACTGGTCTTCTCGTCCCAGGTCTTTTTTCTTGGCGTGGGCAAGCCTCGTCGACGGCATCAGCCGCACTCGGTCTTGTAATTTTCGCAACCCCTGTTTTTCAATGGGGAACCTTGGAAAAAAAGGATTTGATTTTCGAGAAGAGTGTTAAAAGCATTTCGGTTGTGTGAGAGCACATCGGGCATGCAAGTAGCACACAAGTGCATTTACTCCTGATCGGTCTGGGCAGTTCCTCAAGAAATAAATAGAAGTTATTACAGGTCTGCGTCTAGTAAGGAATTCGAAACACACTGGAAAACTTTGCCGGCACCAAACCACAGTGATCACGAGAAGAGCACATTTTTGTAAGAGAGCAAAGGAACACAAACAAACCGATGAACCTACAAAACGACATAAAAGCCACACACTGACATGACCATCACAGACCACATGGAAAAACAAAGCAACAGGGAACTGACCGGCAACAAAAGCACAATAAAAAACACAAAACGCAATAAAACACCACATCATAAAATCAGACAGAAAAAACGAACCCAGAAGACCACAACAAAATTCAAAAAAAAAGTTTGAAAGAACAAACACAAATCCAAAAAGAACAATAAACTCCAATCGCAAAAAATAATCCAGAAAAAACGAAATCCAGGGAAACAAAACAGAATTCCAACACAACATAAAATTCAACAAACAAGTCAACCCAGAAAATTCCCTAAAACATAAAACCAAAAAAACAAATCACAGAGAAAACAAAACTGAAAACCCAAAACAAAATTTAAAAACACAGGGCACGGACGGAGCGAGAACGGAGGCACAAGCGGAGGTCGAAGCTTGTCTCTCGAGCCAGACATGTCGTCGGCAAGCTTGTCCATTGGGTGTGTATCAATGGTGCTCTTGCTGATCCTTCACACACGGCCCTACGTTGCCGACACTTTCGACACAGAATTTCCGAGCTGCATTGGGCAGAGCGTGAGCCAGCAGTTCGCAATGTGCCCCGTTCCGTCCTCCAAATAGCATAAATGAGGAACTACACATCAAGCTTCACAGCCATCACAGCGGAAACCATGAAGCTCTGAGAGGTGCTCCAGAGAGTGCGAAGTCAGGTCTCTCGATTCTGCATACAGTCGTGCCAGCCCAACCGGAATGGAAGCAGCTTCGCATTCGCGGCTGTTGCGCGACTCTTAATTCCGGGAAGGCAGCCATAGTTGGGTTTAGCTTCTGCCAGCCTTGTCCGGTTCGTGAGCTTTTTACAGACCCCCTGTTCTAATTGCCTGCGTGCCCACAGTCGCTGAGGCACCGTAGCTTGTGCTGAACGGCCAGGACCGGCAAAGTCTGCGCCGCAGCAGCTGTCAGGGTGCAACTTGCAGACTCCTTGATGGCTGTGTCACGAAGGAGCAGTCCAGCTTCACAGCGTAAGTTACGCAGTACTCGCAGATAAAAAGAAAGCGCGCTGCTGCCATGCAGAGCAACCAGCCGTGAATAAATCCTGAGCGATGGAAGCTCCTGGCTCCAACCTACGGCACCGCTTTTCGCCAAAACAAAATTAGGGGACCAACTGACGCTGATCGAACGATCCCTGCTGGCTAAGTTGCAAGTTGCGACTGTTTCACAGTTCCTCTTCATCTTCTTGTCTTTTTCACTTCTTACTGGGCTCAGTGCTGCAGCCGTGGTCGTCGAGGCCCGTCCACGCCCAAAAATAGGTCAGCTTCTTGCGTGCACACTTTCGTTGTGGCGCGATGGTCGAACTTAAGGTTAGGTATGATTACAGTTTCGATTTTACCAGGGATAGAAGTCTTCACTTGTTCAAGCCGCAACCACAAAAACCTCATTGACCATGCTGCAGAAGACTGAGATGCTGCCTTTCGTGGGCATCGGGACTTGGCCAGGGCAGGTCTTCTGGTTCAGTGGCTCAGCTTCATCCAGGTGCCTCAGTGCCGCCAGCAACAAGTCGACCCTCTGGGAGTTCGGCAAGGGCCTTGATCGCTTCTCAACTCGTGGGACCAAACCTTCAGAAGGTCCACATGCAGCGGCAGCTCTGTCACTGTTCATCGGGTTCGGAAACCTTGGGCCGAACAAGTGGAAAGAAGTCAAGAGCACTTGCCACACATGTACTACTAGGCAATCGGATGCCAAGCGGCTTTCGGACCCTGCATGCGGTCACGGCCTGCCAACAGGCATGTTTCTGGGTCTTTTTGGCTTGAGCGAGCCTTGTCGACTGTCTCAGCTCCAACCTTCGATGCCGGTGGCTTCAGCAGAGCTTTTGGGTTCCAACCCCCAAGCGTCCCTGGTCCGGTCTGAATCGGTCCAGACTTTCTCCGCAGCTTTGACTGTGCAGCTCCGCGGTCAACGCAGATGCGGTTCACCGACTACCGTTCATAGAATTCACGGGCAGTCTACCTATCTTTGCGCTGCGGGTTTTAGAGTCCAAGCTTTTTTGGCTTGACTGGGCCTTGTCGACTACGGCTGTTAGCACTCGGTCCCTACAAACAAGCGAAACTAACACAAACTACAAACTTCAAACTGGCAAAGCGGTAAGGCTGCGGCGCACAGACTTAGCCGGTAGTAGCCGTTCAGCACAACTACGGAGCCTCAGCGACCGGTTCGGAGCAACAAAGAGCTGTCGAACAGTGATGAACCGATCTCCTGTTCTGTTTACATTGGGAAACCAAGACAAGCGTGGCC